TGCAATTCCAACAACCTGAATGGACCAGTGAATATAAAATAAACGTACTTTTGTGAAGATTATCAATATGCCGCGTCAAAGTGTTTACCTCAGCGAAGTTTTTGCCACAAAGCTCGCACGCGAAGGGACGTAATCCTGAAATGACAATTATAACCCTTAATGGCATGCCTCCGACCTCCATCTCAATATGCACACATATGAACAAGAATATGGACTAGGGCCCGGTGAGAGATCGGGACGGTGAAGACTGTGGCGGACACCCACGTCCCCTTCCCATTCGTTCTCCAAGGCTCGCTGCACCAAAGTCATGCGTCGTCACAAACAACTGTTCCGATGCTTTATTTCACTGGCGCTTCCGCCCCCGGGGCTTGACCTCACAGCTGCTTCTGGCTAACCCGTAACAGCTGCGTCATCGTCCCCTGTTCTTCGGCCCGCCAGCGGTCCCGAGAGTTGACCTCAACTTATTCACTTACGCACATCCCCGCGCATACACGCTCGTCCAAATAAGCGCGCATGCCTAGGGCCACTTGACTAAGACAACCCCCGGCCGACGAGGCAAAGATGTTTGCGGGGACTTCTCCTCAGGCAACTGCAACAGACCAATGACATAACACTTGAACTCGTTTCACAGCCATGTAAAAGTAACTATTACCGCCCCCAGCACAACACTCAGTCGACTCTCAGACCTCGCCGGACGCAGTCAGGACCAGCCCTGGCTTCGTCAGTGGCCACTGCCACATGAGACTGCAACTAGGAGTTCTGTATACAATAAACCACTCCTTCTGGTGATGCTTGCCTTTTACCTTCAGCCTGGGAACTTCGACCTGATGATTGTAGTGATCTAGGCACAGCTAGTAGTTAGACCACTACAAATTGGTGACCCCGACGTGATATAAAAGCGCATTCTTCGGAGCACAGCCACTGCTCAATTTCTTCTGATATGGTTGACGACTTCTTCATGAGATTCCAACTCGACTTCACTGTACTGTTTTCCCTGCGTCACTCCTCCTGCCCACGAATAGGGAAACACGGTTGCTGACACCCTGTCGCGAATCGAGATTGATGTCTTCAACAGAACACAACCATTCATGTTTAGATGGAACCCCAATCAGGTTATTTGGAGCATTCATCCAAAAGCAACAGCCGGACATCGCTATGCGGAAAATTTCAGTTGTCCTCCAATGTCAACTGCTAAAGCGCAGGTGCGGATTGAACATGTCTCCGCCTTTGACCCATTTAAATTTCAAGTTGGTGATTCCGTCATATAGGTGTGGGTACGTGGTTGGCTCCTGGAAGAAGCATCGAAAATGAATATAAAGCCTTTAAGTAATACGTCCCCTAGGCCGGTCGTAGCAGGCTAAAATC